GCTCAGTGAGCTATGTAGATGGTTATGCTCTCGGTTTTTCTGCGTGATAAACTTAGTAATAAAGATATCCGCACTAGAATCTGTGCATCACATTCACAATGACAATTGACTGATCTGTGATCTATTCTATGACTTTCTGTTTTATTCTCATGTACTTCTTACATATTATATATATATATATATATATATATATATATATATATATATATATATATATATATATATATATATATATCTATGGTTCAGAATTGGATATGAAAAAAAAAAGAATATTTGAAATTTTTTTTTACTTCCATTTAATCTTAAAACTAAACCTTTTGATTGTTATTGGTTTAATTTTATATATCCAGGATTCAATATAACATTTTTTTATTTTAATTTTCTTTTAAATTTTAATTATTAATTCTCACTTAATGTGAATGTTTAGCAGTCAAATAGCTGCTGGGAATATCCATTTTGCAACAGTGTTGCAGATAAGGACAATCCATTCCATCACCTATCATTGTGTGACTGGTGTTGCCGCCATTTATCATTGATACACACTTTAATACTGGGAGAAATAAAACGTAATGTTTCCATTATATTTATATAATTTAATTATTATTTCACAAAAAGGAACATAGTCATGATTCTAATTAAAACGTATTTAGTCGTATCGATTATGGGTTAGCTTTGATAAACAATATGCGACGATACCGAAATGCGTTTTATACAATTTCTTACTAACATAAATATGTACAATGATCCGACTCTGCAGTAACTCTCGTAAGTCCGTTACTCGGGTTATATTTTATAAAAAAAGTCGATATTTCAAATACCTCAGTAGGAAGATATCTGCTTATTAAATTAGATATTTAATCCGATTATTCAATTTCTTCAACTCTTGAGACTGAGTAGCTTTGATTAGTTGTTTTGAAAAAAAAAAACTTCCAATAAATTGTTCAATGTTCATTTATTAAGACATTGGACCTTCTAAAATTTAGTGAAAATTTGAATTCTGGAGAAGAGTTTCTCCCATATTAGAGAAAATTTGTCGCAAATGTTACGTTTGACATAGGTACGTGTTGACGAACCTCCATACCAAGGGGTTTCATTGATTGATTTAAATAAATATGAAAGTCTAAGCAATTAATCAAAAACAACTTTTTTAAAGTCAAGTCGCATTCAGCTTTGATACAGGCGTTTAATTATTACCATGAATCCATGGATTATTGCACTGTCTTAGTTTGGAATTTAGTCACTGACTCAATGCCGGCGTAATGTTTTAATTAAGAGCGTGTATTTACTACAATTTTTAATCCCATGGGCATAGATGGATAGAATGCAACAAGTTTTAGCTCTTAAATTGGTTTTGAACCAGTATTAAGTTAATTATTTCTTGTCACGGAAAGTCCTCGGTATTTTTTTTTGAAAATGGTATCACTGGTAAGCTTTACCACATGTTTTAATAAAGTTTCTAGATATACATTTTCCGAAGTCTTTACTCCTATCACAAAAATAAAGCCTGGTGATTTTTTGTAGGATACCCCTTGCCAATAAACCTTGCCACGACTGATGTAGGATGACGAACACCCAGTGGCATATAATGTCCGCAACACTTACCGGTTTTGGTCAGGGAAGAAATTCGCAAGCATAAAGTTGTTTTATTTCGTGTAATGGGTGACAAGAACCAGATATAATTTTTACTGGAATGAGACACCAGACCAGATGGACTCTTACACAGACCAGGAGTCTACTACCTAGTAACTTGTTGTGCACAAAATGTTAAAAACACCTAATAGATTTCTCATCATCACCATAGCCTAAGGCAAGCATATTATTGAACGTAGCCCTCCCCTAATTAATGCCACAAAGTCCATTCCTGCCACCGTCATCCAATTGTCTTCCTATAAGTCTTCACTCTATTAAGTGGGCTATTAACGTGAAGATATGTCAGTTACTCTGTTTTTTCAATTCCATCTTAAGCTCCTATCATCACCAAAGATCTAAAGCTTCCTCATAGATTTTAATCCAACAAAATTTGCGTCAATAAATATCCAATAATTACCTTATGGTGGATTTTTTTTGCTTACTTATTCAAATCAGTAACCATTACCGAATTAGTATATTCAAATAAAACAAAAACATAAAATAATGATTATGAATTGTACGTACTTACTTAGATGTAACGTGGACATAAATTATTCATAGATTCGTTTTTATAGATGTTTGAATAATAGACGACATCTTAACTAAAGTTGTTTATGAAAGTATATTATTATATACATATTTTGTTATTAGTAGGTGACCGTGGCCTGTATGAGTTTTTTTCCATCAAGTGGACTGTTAGCTCTTTTGGAACTACTTAAAAACTACTAATAGAGCACGAAAGTTTTACATATATTTTTATATAATATTCTTTTTTATATAATTGCCATCAGCAACTCTTGGCAAGCAAATTGACGAATAGTACCAGATATATCGCACTTTTGAAGCATACTTTTTGACGTGAATTTGATAGCTATACCACCATCTAAAGGAAGCCATAATAATAATAATGATTATATTTATTTATTTGCCTTGAATGTAAGTATTTACAATAAGATGTTGACAGGGTACATAAAAGATCCATACATTCTTCCATTTTGGCATGCAAATATTAAATTAAAATTTATTTCTTAACAACATTAGTAATTACTTATAAATAGATTTAATATGATAATTATGAGTGTTAATAGTCACTACATTATCATAATTAAAAGTATTGTATTATTATTGCTATTACATAAATTTAGATTATAGAATTATTATTATATATAGTAGATAGACAATACATTATAAATAATTAATACAAACAGCATAATACAAACAATTGATTAACTTTACTTCATTTAAGTATGGGTATCATTTAAATAGTCCGATATTGAGTAATAGCACCTCTCCAACAGCAAAAAAGTAATACTCTTTTTAAATATTCTTATGGGTTGATCTTTTTACATTATTTGGGATTTTGTAATAAATAACAAGTGCCATGGTCCATAATACTTTTTTGATAAAGATGTTTGAAATTGATGATACCGTTCTGACATATCCCATAGCCTCTTATCTACGACACCAGGAATGGGGCCGATGAATTATTTAACTATATGGTATTGTAATATATTTTACTTGTGACATAATCAGTCTTTAATTTTTTTAAATTAAAAATGAGCACACCTTCCTATGGCTTGGTGGCAAAGATAAGGTCTACGATGGAGCAATTGATTGATTAGATGATTGATTGAGATGGAGTTTGTCCAGGAGAAGCACCTTGAAGAGGTGTAGGTTATATAGCTGAAGGGCATTCCACTTCTTGGCTGTGCGCATTATATAAGATGATTTATAGCGCTTAGTGTAAATATTCGGAATGTCAACTGAGTTAGGATGGTGTGGTATATGCGTTAAAATTATAAGCATGTACCTAACGAAGGTGTTATTAGGTCATGAAGCAAATGAATGACGTGATTGCAATTAAGCAATGTTATTTACCCATTTAGCAATATAATTAACTTAGTTTTTTAAAATTATTGTAATTGGCTTTTATTTTGACATTCAATAAATGGATCTGAACAAGTTAAGTATCTTTAAATTTCTACACTAATGACCCTAATATTGAATGAGCCTGCCAGTACCTGAGTGCAGTCAGCAGCACGTTCGTCTAGCTGTATGTGAATAACCTGCAGCACGTCTGGTACTTCTTTTTTTACATTTGACTTAAAATAGGCAAATCGAGATGGCAATATGCGCTTATGAAACTAATAGACACCCTCTCCAAAGTACAATCTGTAGAAGACCGACAAACAAGCAACTTGATGGCGGTAAGTTATATGCTGTGAAGCTTAGTTTCCATAAGTTTTTTGTCGCCGATAAGCCTCTTCACACTGCGTTCTACTGAGTCGATTTCGTCAAGTTGATTTTTTGCTTTGGGGAGGCCAAAGTTATTTACAATACTCCTTGCATGTTCGGACTTGAACTTTGTATAAAAATGGAAGCTATCCAGGCGTTAAGTATTACATCACCTTTATTAGAATACCCAGTTTATTGGTCGCAGTTTGTGTTTTCGCCCCAATGTTAGCACCGAAGTTGAGGTTAGCACTCAACTGTTTGCCGAAAAGCTCTGCTCAAACTGATCAGTAACTTTTACAGATGTACCTCGGAAAGTAGGAGTCAGATCAAACAGACTCGCAAAGCATTGCGTAAATCAGACATGCCTGCATTTCGGCTGTGCTGAATGTGACCAGAATTTCGTCACTCTATTCGGAGTTCACACTTAAAATCCCTAATCGACAGTTAACTCAGAATTCATATATCTATTTGCGGAATTCGCCAGGGATGCCGTAGGCAGAAAGTATACTCAGCAGAGTTGCATGCTAAACCCTGTCAAAAGCATCAGGTCATGGACAGGAGCATGAGTATCAAACAAGTTAGCAAGCTATTTATACATAAAAACTGAAAGATTTCCAAATAAAACTTTTAACCATAATAAAAAATTATTTGCCTGACGTAATTCATTTATAAACAAACTGTTTAAAACATTTATTTCAACTAAAACAGAGAAGCGTTAATCAGACCAGAAGTAATATTAGTTTTTGTTTGTCAGATGATATTCTTGTGTATTTTATTACTAGCTCAGTATTTTAAAAACACTATGCTATTAAAATATCTGGAAAAAATAAATTCGTAACATAGATAGAGCCAATAAAAATAAACTAATATTCGTTACGGAGAAGCGGCATAAACGGCTATATTTTCGCGAGCATAACGTCAAATCACCCCCCTGGAGTATACTAAGCTAAAGTCTAAATTCAATTCTTCAAATAATAAACAATAGTTACTCGTTGATAAAAAACAAATGTACATGACGGCAAGATAATTAAGATAATCAATAATAGTTGTAATCGTGTCATAGTTTACAAATAAAATATTGTAATAAAATTAAAATATTTGCTTTAAACGACCTTAATAAAAACTCGCATGACCATTTATGTGAAATGATGAACCACTGAAATGGCTTTTTCAGGTAACAAGTTTTTAACTACATCTGATCGGTCAGTGCCCCTTATTTCACCTTCTATCTCTTGCAATGTTCTATCCTTAGTCTCTGGCAAAATAAAGTATAAAATTGCTAAACACAATATTACTAGCAAAGCGTATACAGCATAAGTACCAGAAACACTGATGAATTCTATCATTATAGGTGTTAATTTTAATGTAAGGGCATAGAAAATTGTATATGATATTCCTGATATACAAGAACATATCCCTCGATATTCCAAAGGAAAAACTTCTGCTGATATCGCAAAAGCTACCGGCACTAAGCCAATGTGAGCTATGAAAGTATGTAATAATATTAAGAACGGGATTAGTCATGACTCATTAGATAATATATCATATTTAGATTTCAAAACTACCATTAAACTTATTAAAAACATTATTGCAACTGTCAGTGAACCTAGACTAAATAATAGCGTACGTCTATTAAACAACCGTATTACAAAACATGATATACTTAAAGCAGAAACTAACAACAGATCTGATACTATGGAACAGTACATTGCTATTGATTTACTGCCAGTAATTTCTTCTAATATTTGCGTTATATAAGCTATTAGAAAGTATCTGCCACAAGCATCAATACACAAAGTGACAAGTGCAACTATTATACAAGCTTTCTGCATTTCTTTATTTTTAATCGTTATTATAAAACTCTTCACATCGGAAATCTTTTCAGATTTCTTGATTTCTTCCTGTCGCTCTGTCTGTGCTTTTATTAACTCTTTTAGCTCTTTTTTACTCGTTATTGAGTTTCCATTCAACCAAGTGAAGGCTTTTTCCGATTCGTCGAATCGTCCTTTCATAGCTAAAAAAGCCGGGCTCTCAGGCCAGAATAGTATGAATAATGCAGCTAACGCTGATGGAATTATACAAAATGAAGCTATTTGTCTCCACGTACATATTAATGCAAAGGAATGACAGGCCAATGAACCTACACCTAATGATATTTTCTTTAATGTCATGAAATAGCCTCTTCTGCGTGGATTTGTATATTCGGATAAAGTTATCGCATTGATAAACAATCCGCCTATAATTAAGCCTTGAATAGCCCTAGCTAAAACTAAGACCGTGATACTGTTGGCAAGGGATAGTGCGAGCCAGCCGACAACCAGTATGACATTCAATCCGATACCAACCACCTTCCGACCGAAGCTTTGAAATATAGGTGAGAAAATTAAGAAACCGACGATTCCCGAAATGCCATTACTTGATGCTGAAAAAAAAATTATATCATTATAAATTAGCCAGGCACACATATATACATATATCTGGTGTTTTCATCTAATCTTATATATGTCTACTTATATATATTTATAGTAAAAATTAAACGTTATTAACATTGAATACAAATTATTAAATTCGCAAATGCAAGCTATAGTTTGAAAAGTCTTACCGCAACCTATATATATATATATATTTTTTTTTTTTTTTTATATTTTATATTTTTATATATATATTTTTTTTTTTTTCGTAATGATGAACCAAAATAAGCAAATGTTGAAAATAACATCACTGTATAGTACAGTTTATGTCGTATGGTATCACAACAAATCACAGTAATGTTTACATCTGTAATAAAATTCCTTTCTTATTACATATGTGATGAAACTTTTGATGGGATTGTCTCATTCTACTTTTATCAATTATAGATCTATGTTTACCAAATTTCCACCTGATATTAAGCAGTGCCTTTTATTAACTTTCATTTTTAAATTACAATTTCATTAAAATTATTCTTTAATTATTTCTTTTATTAGATTACAATTTTATTAAAAATGCCTTTTCTCCTTGCTTTGTAAAGTTCCTAATGGTAGTACTCAGGAAAGACAGAGTAGGAAAACAATAGTAAATAGTAAATGTAAATAGATCATAGATCATTTAAAATAAAATAGATCGATATCGTAATTAGTTTTTTTTCTGTAACAATATGTAATGATGTTTTAATTTAGTGAAATGACTTATACCTATACTTATAACAATTTCATTGGTGCCGGCGGGGTTCGAACCCGGTTTGCTCGCGTACTGTGAAATTTACAGCGAGCGTTAACCATCTGAGCTACCACGGCTCTTAATTATGTGTCAAACTTAAATCCTACTATTTTCAAAAACCTTGATAGCAATGTTGCTACAAAGTGAGGTTAACTTTGTCATTTTCTATTTTTGATTATTTTGTCACTTAGTGTTGGTACTTTTTTAATTACTAATAAATACTAACACGACTAACTACTGACATTGACGCCCAGTCGGAGAGTACCTTTTATGCTGGAAAATTAGTCATAAACATTTAAGTCCTTCCAAATATGGCAAAGTTGACAGTTTTCACGGTAATAATTTTCGTTCCTCCGTACTAAAAAAGTATTGTTTGTTTGTATCTTATCAGGTCCTGTGATCTTCATATAGCATACACATTGTTTAATCGGTATATTTATAAAAATAATCTATGAATATGAATAACTAACCTATCCAGGAAGCTTGTTCAGAAGTAGCTTTGATGTCTGTGCTATTCGGAGATAGGATTGCAGGATTTAGCACAGCCGGGAAAGCCATGATGAAACCCGAGGAAAACGAGTGTAGACATGCTGGGATCAGTATAAATATCTGCAAACAATATTATAATATTTTTATAGTCTGAAAAATAACATTCTTTTGGAATTTATGTATAGTAAAATCCCCAAAGCTTGTAGGTGACGAATGTTCGCTTTAAATTTTCATAAAACCTGCGTATATATGTATAGAATAAGGGTGACAAACTACCACATAGTCCACCTAAAGGTAACTGGACGTGTGTGGGAATTTGCATAAACCATTGTTCTGAAATCATCCCATAAATCTTAAGTCTTAGTTAAATTTAGTTTACGCTCCTTTTGTAAAAAGTTTATTAGACTACATATCCATCCTTGATGGTGATAGAATCTACTGGTAGTTGCCAAAAAAGAAAAAAAAAGTAAGTGTGTTTAGTACACAGTGTTACATAAATTGTATAAACAGTAAATTTTGTTTCTAAATGTAACTACGGGTAAGTAATCTATCTATATAAAACACAAAAAAATTCTACCTATAACTGAAACCATCCAACTGTTAAGTATGGCAATAATGCGAAGATCTAAGATGGTTTAAGACCATTGAGTGTAATTATAATATTAGTGTATTTATAATATTCAAAATATCATATTTTAAATATTATAAATGTATATCCTATACCTTTAAACGAGCAATTCTTGTATATATATATTTCAAATTCAAATTCAAATTCATTTATTTATTTGTGAATACAGTAAGTTAGGTGTTATAAAAATTTACAGTAGGTACCGTGTATTCTACTACAGTGTGGTGTACAAATATATTTCTTCACGTTATAGCCAATAACAGCAAAATGGAATACTATTAAAATTGATTGCAAATTATAAAAATACAATAATCATACTTGTAGGTGGTATTAAATATTCACAAAAATGTTATATATTATAAGTGAAAGCGTCTTGCAATGATACCCATGACACATAACACATTTCGTAATGGCGCCTTTACGTCTATATTGAAAAAAAAAAAAAAAAAAAAAAACAAAAAAAAGGTGAAGTAAATAAAAATGTCATCTTTTCAAATTATTATTACTATTATTAAATACACGAGTCAACAGTAAATACTGCATCTTAAGCTAATGTAACGTAAGTAAACTACATATATATATATATATATATATATATATATATATATATATATATACATGAAACTAATAAGTATCAAAAATGTCGATGTCATCAGGTTATTATAATATCATGTCAAATGTATAATTTGTGTATGTCAAATCAATATAAAATATTATATATTATGTATACCAAAACAATCATTTAATTTTATAATTTTTATAATTTTTAACGTTTGTATATATATATAATCGGAATCTCGGAAACGGCTTCAACGATTTTCATTAAATTTTTTGTCCAGGGAGTTTCGGGGGCAATAAATCGATCTATAGTACGTTTCTAGGGCGAAAAAAAGTACATTGACCTTTGACGATATCATCGGGATAGGTAATCTTTTTTGTTTAGGTTAATTTTTTTATCATTTTATCATTACATACATCATCAGAGTGAAAGATAAGGGTGCCGAGTGCGAAGTTCTTAACAGGACCTATGTCTATTATTATATAATAAAGAAAGAAGATTATCCTGTATCTAAATGAATTAAAAAGAAAATTAATATTAATTTAAGTTTATTATGTATAAATCATGAGTTATTACAATTTTCATTATTACGTTAATAGTAGATAAGTACTTTAAGTAGGTACGTAGGTAGTTGTATAAAACATAACCATTTTGGTGAAAAGACGATCTTTTAATGCTAAGCATTCTTAAGCTGCCAACCTTGAAGCATGCATAAAACTTATCATAATAGATTGTCAGAGACACTTGACAGACTATTCATCTGTATCTATTTCAGAATCATTTTATAATGATAGAAGAGTCCGTCACATTGGCGGCCTAAAATATCGGCACTCTTCTTTTTCATATCCGTTTTGAATGGATATACGTCACTAGACCATGTTTTTTTTTTACATATTTATAGATGTTTACAATCATTATTTTTCGGTTTCCGAAATATGCGACACTTTCCGCTTATTTCGTCGTGACGTAAAGTCTTTATGAGATGTTCATGTCGATGAACCCGATTTCATACTAGTGGTAATATACAAAACGTCACATAAACTTTAATACAAAACGTAATAATACAACTAACAAAACAAACTTAATAAAAATTAAATCAACTACGTACTTAACCAAAAATTTTAAATCTCAAACTATCTACACGCAAGCGCATCCCAAAGCAGAATGAGGAATGAGTTCTGCTCCATCCGCTTTCTAAAATACGCACGGCGTGAGACCTATCGCAAATCGCGTCGAAACAGGTTTATTATCTCTGAATAACCGCTACGTTCACCCTACCCAGTACCATGAGATACGCTTAGCGCATAACGATACGTAATCTATTAAGAAATGTATGGTAGCAATAACTGTCGTTTTGTTTCAATGCTAACATAATACTTCAGGTCAATGTACTTTTTCCCGCCTGTCCTAGAAACGTACTATAGCTAGGGTTTATTTTTAGAAAATGTCTTTTTGTCGGTGTTTTCAGGCAATGAAAAACTGTTACAATATAAGAAGGTAAATTTTGACACTGTATTAATGATCATAATAGCTCAAGTGGATATCGAGCGGTCACGAAATCGTAATGCCTTGGTTCGCATCCTGTCTTCAGACCAACTTTTTTTAATTTTTTTCAAGTTCCCTTATTTTTTGAGAAAATCTATTATTTTGAGCCTGTTGATTTGAATAAGGTTGGTTGGATATAGTAAAATAAAACTCAACAAGTATGCTCTGTTCAACGATCTATTGGACACTAAATGCATGCATTATTTAGTCAAACATACCGTCCACCAAAAGGTACTTAAGACCTTCTCGAAATGAAAAAATTAATAAAACATTTGAACTTAACTAGTCCCTGAAACAATATATGCTACTAACAATATTTGTACTTGAAGTTATTCAATGCTTCAATTTAAAATAAACTTTACTTTAAAATTTTACAATTTAACATTACAATTTAAATAAGTTAATTAATAGCTATTATTAGCTATAAAACTTAGAACAAACAAATAAAGAAAAAACTTCACACTAATACTAATTTGATACTTAACTACTGAATATAATGCAAAGAATACAATTTAAAGTTATTAAATGAAATTTAAAATATTAATCTTTATTAGAAATCGGTAATGCACAAAAATTTGAAATGGACGACAAACACGCTCCCAAACATCAAGTAAGAGTGAAGCGTTCACTAGCCCCGTGGATGACTGAGGCCGTAAGGTTGGCAATGACTAGGCGAGATCGAGCATTTGTGAAATTTAAGAAATATCGTACACAGGACAGCTGGGATCGCTACAGAGTGCTAAGAAACAGATGCAATCAGATGGTACGAAATGCTAAACGCCGTTATAACTATAGTAATATTGCAAACTCTTCAACCGCTGATGTGTGGAAATTTCTTAAAACACTAGGTATTAGTAAGGCCGTTACATCTGACCGTGGTCCATCAATCACTCTGGACGAAATAAATCATCACTTTATTTCTACTTATCCTTTGGATCCCACAGTTCGTTCTAGGACAATAGCTTCCATTCAATCCATGCCATCTCCTCCTATTCCTTTTTTTCACTTCTTACCTGTGACTGAGGATGAGATACAGAAATCTGTACCAGCTATTAAATCCAAGGCTGTGGGTTGCGATGAGGTTAGTAAGGTTATGGTATCCATGATCCTTGAGTGCCTGCAATCACACATATCATAAACCATTCCCTTGACTCAGGTCAATATCCTACTCAATGTAAAAAAGCATTTGTGCGACCACTTCCTAAAATACCTAATCCCTCATTACCTACCCATTTTCCACCAATTTCAAAAGCTATAGTACGTTTCGACCGATTTCAATATTGCCATACCTATCTAAAGTTCTAGAAGCCTGTGTTCACAAGCAAATCTCTATGTTCATAACCAAATACAATCTGCTGAATAAATATCAGTCAGGCTTTCGTCCAGGTCACAGTACTACCACTGCATTGATAAAAGTTACAGATGATATTAGAATGGGAATGGATGAGCAAAAGCTTACGGTGGTGGTGCTTGTTGACTTTTCAAATGCTTTTAACACAGTCGACCACGATATCCTTATAACCTTCCTAACTAATCTTAGATTCTCAATCCCAGCTTTGGAATGGTTTTCATCCTATCTTCGCGGCCGCCAGCAATCAGTACGATTAGGGCCAGAGTTCTCAAGATGGGCTGACATTGAAACAGGTGTGCCGCAAGGCGGAATACTTTCTCCTATAATGTTTTCTTTATTCATAAATTCTATCACTTCAGTTCTCAACTGTTCGTACCATCTGTGTGCAGATGATCTTCAGCTCTATGTGCAATCTAGTGTTAACGACCTTAACGATAATATTCATAAACTCAACCACAACCTCGATGCCATAAGAGATTGGTCGTACAGACATGGTGTTTTGGTTAACCCAACAAAATGCAAAGCAATGGTTATAGGTAGTAGCAGATTGTTGGCTAAGATTAATAACGATAATCTTGCTCCCGTCTTTTTCAATGGAACGTTGTTGCCATTTTCTAAGTCTGTCAAAAATCTTGGCTTACATATAGACCATACCTTAAGCTGGGGTAAATGGGGTTCAAGTTGCCGAAACAAGCCGTAAAGTAACTGCCACCTTACGTTCTCTTTGTCGTCTCAAAAACTTTCTGCCTTTTAAAACTAAACTTCTGCTAATCCAGACTTTGATATTACCCATTATTGATTATGCGGATGTGTGTTACCCAGATCTATCTCAATATCTTCTCGATAAGTTGGAGCGCCTTCTCAACAATTGCAATAGATTCATTTTCGGCTTACGTAAGTATGACCATATTTCCCAGTACCGATCTAAGCTTAAATGGCTCTATTCGTCAAAGGCGTAGCTCCCGATTTTTGCAAGTACTACATTC